TTGACAGGTTGTGAGAAGGAAAGAGACTTTGGATAAGAACAGTACACAAAGAAACAGGCAGAGAGATATACCCCCCTAACAAGTCTAGAAGAGGACGTAGGCAAAATCTTTCACCCTGTGGTAACAAAATATTTCCCACCACTTTACGTAATATGGGTTCATATGCCATACCCATTAATGCAGTTGAATTTACTGCTGTCTTAGTCTCTTTTCCACCTTTCCGCTGGCATCATTCTCTGTGTCTTCTGTTATTGATTTGGCATTTCCATTTATTCTTCTGCAGGCTATTCAAATTATTTCAATAGAACTCATAAGAATCACACTGAAAAAAATGCTCAGAGGTTTGGAAGATATTTATTTGACATTCTACTCCCATATTCTACAGCAATAGTCCTAGATATTTTCCGTAAGACTGGGAGGGGAGACTGCCTAATACTGAACTAGACTAGCAGGTGGTAGTGGTACAGAGATAGTTTTTCCATCAGCAACTCAAAAAATACAGCAGATACAAAATATTTCATGTGATATGTTCACAGGTCAACCTGACACAAGGAAGCATTAAGGTCGTAAATTAAGTCCACTCCTTTTCAACAAGCACAGACTGACATGTGGCAGAATAAAAGCATTTCATCCATCAGTATTTCAAAGTGAAACTAAACAACTGGAGATCCCCCAAAGACAGACACCGCACTTGAATATTTTAGATTAATTTCATCCTCTCTTTTTAAATGCGCAAATAGCTTGACTTTTCCAAGGCCCGTTTAGGTTACTGGAGGAATATAGACATAGGTACAACACAAGCTATGTCCATGTCTTTAAAAGCATTCAGAAAGACAGTATACCTTCAGTTTCCAACTAACTTAAAAATATATATATATTTTTTTAAAGACTATCAGTCCCCAGTGTCTAAGAACCACATCATATGATTCCAATATTCCAACATGTCACCAGGGAATAATCTTACTGGAAGGGTTGTGCATTTTTGAAGCATCCAAGCTTCACTTTTCCCTGGAATATGAAGAAAAAGCCTACATTTTATTAAAAGAAAGCTCATAGTTTCTCATATATATATGACATTTAGCCTAAGGCATTAAAATCCCAAATATTGCAAGAGTTGACAGTGCTATATTTGAATATAATTTCATTAAAGTACTGCGGGAATCAGTAAAGACAAACCGAGGATGAAGAGAGAGGGAGTATGAATCAGAATAAGAACTAATAGCATAAAACCCCACAATGTTATCTGAATTTAAAAGGGAGTGAAAACATTCTGCAAATCAATATCCTTAGGAGACGAAAAAAAAAGCCAAATAAAAGAAAAAAAAGATAATCAACAACAAGAAAAAAAATGCAAAGGCTGAAAAATTCTCTTTATGGGCATTTCCAGTGACATTTATTAAAATAAAAGGTGATCCAGGGGTTCCACTGCAAAAAGGTTCTACTGTAATTCAAAGTGAAGATCTCAGCACTTTCTGGATAAAATCCAACCTCCTTGAAAAGTAGAGAAGGTGAATAGTTGAAGTGTTGACTATTAGAGGTCATTTCTGACCTTTGTTTGTATTGATCATATGACAAATAGCTTTTGGAAATACCCTAAGGCAACAGTTCTTGAAGGGGAGATGTGTTGCACATTCCATCACCATCATCAGTAACAGATAATAAGTTTTTACATTTATATTATTCTGGAAATTTAATATAAATAGCGTTTGTCTATTAGGCAGAGGAGCTGAACACAAGTTTCTCAGAGAAAATTGAGCTCCTCTGATACAAGTCTGATAAAAGTATAGTTACAGGCATAACTGTACTAATCTCACTGGAGCTCTTTTATGTTTTACATTTACTTGGTTAGATGGAGTTCTGAATTTCTCTTTGTGCACTTTAACACTTGCACAGTGATGAACATAAGAGAAGCCAACACAATCTTTAAAAAAAATGCAACTGTAATAGCAAGATACGAAGCCAAAACACTAGAAAAATAAATAAAAATATCCTCAAATGTTCCTTCAAGTGCTTTAAAAAAACCAAAAATTCCTTTATCCCAGTACTTTACTTATTTCCCTAACTACATCAAAGCCTTTCTCTCACATGATTTCTACCAAAATTACTAAGTCAGCTTCACAAATCTCCAATTGCCCACAGCATTAACCTTGTTTTTATGTTAATCAAAATATGCCAAGTTTTTTCCCTATCTCTCTTTTCTGTGATGAATATTGATAAGGACTTCTGTTCTCCAAATGCTACTTTCCCTGACCATTTTTACAAGTTCTTTAACAGTTAATTTAACTTTGATTGTTATATGGTAAGTTTTAGATGCGGTATCTGATTTCACATACAAGTTGCACAGTTGCAAAGTTTGAATTCTCATCGGCAGAAATGGTTGAATTCAAAATGCAGTCACATGCTCAAAGTGTCTGCCTTAATAACTGATATTAACTGCAGAGGGCTCACACAGAAAGCATAAGCATTTGCACATCAAGGCCCCAAATTTCAAAATGCACTTGCTTCACACATATTTACAGACTGCATCCCTAATTCATACAAAGCTTTAAAATAAGTGCTAGTGGACTGTATTATGTGCCTGAAGACACCTACAGATACTTTTTTTGGAGCTGTAGCTTCAGAACAAGACCTTGAAGTCCTTAATTTCTGTTAAACATGTTTAACTATTTTTGCCTAGTAGTCAGCTATTTTTGTCAGCTAGGAGGAAAACTTCTCAAGCAACTCTCTCCCTGTGACATATCTGAATATTTTTGTTTCATACACTGTTTCTGAAAACCTGCTATTTGTACTGATTAGCCATCCTGAAATCTAAATTGGGAAGCACAAAGCTGGAGGAGGTGACTTAGATGTGCAGTGAACTCAAAGTCCACTAAACAGGGCCCTTGGTGCATGCTTGAAATACCACATAGAAATATCAGTAGCTGCAATATTAAGACAAAGATGTCTTCGTGATTTGAGGGATAAATGATCAAGTCACACTGCTTGTAGACAGGAGCATCACTGTATTGCAAAATTAGCACTAGGAAATGTAAAATTGTCAAGAGTGGGGATTAAGAAGCTCAGCTTCTTAAAAGTCATTTTTCTACATATACAACCATTTTAATAATGTTAATGGAGAAGGGAACTGGACTGCCATGACTATCAGCTAATTGTATTAACATGTACACAACAACACAAAAATTTCATGCAACGTCTGTTTAGCTACTGTTCGTTACAGACACGTGAACAAAATCCTTTATTTGTACAACTCTATCAACTATCATAAATCATATAAACTTTGCTGTTGCTAGCTTATTTAAAACTTTCACTATCTACAGCTAGCAGGTTCTCTATATGCTCCTAAATACACTAATTTAAAAAAGAACATTAATAAAAAAAATTCATATTGTTTATGCTTCATCATGAATTCAAAAGTCACCCAGGTCCATTCACATATGAAAGGTTTAGTGTCACAGTTTTCAAAGTCCACACATTTAACCAAGACGAAGGTTGTTTTGCTAGCAAGAATTACCTTTGGACAACAGGCCTTAAAATATAAATTAAATATATTGTAGTAGCAATACAGAGAGATTTTAGGTTCTATATAAATGCTAAAATAAATTGCTTCCACTGGATGTCTACAAGTAAAGGATGTGAGCATCCAGAGTGGGACTCTTCATGCCACAAATGTCCAACGTATGGCTTCTCCCCTTGGGAAACCCTTTAGATTGCAACAAGAACGCAAGTTCTCTCAGTGAACTATTAGGCACTGCTTTCTGCCATTCACCTCACTTCAAAGCAGAGTAAAATAGATTTAACTGACACCTGTTTAATTCTTTTTAGCAGCTTCACCAAGGATGAAAATCGCATGGCCCCAAAGCACTCATTTAATCACTGTTACATTAGCCTTGTGCCACTGCTGCCCACCAGTCAGTGTGTACTACGTGTTTCCATCTCTGCCTCATCTGCAAGTAACTGTTCTACTTCCTTACAGAACAGTAACAACAATTCCAGTGACTTGGATCCATACCTTATTGGTGTAACAGCACCAGAAGTAAGATTTGGCCATTGTTAAAGGTTAATCACATAAGACCTGCTTGAAGTCTACAGACCTGAATCCCTGGCTTCTTTTTAAAGCCATTGACTCTCAGTTTATGCTGGTTGTGGTGGCTGCACCGACACACATATAGATAAGTATTAGGGGTGGAAAAAAAATTAATATAAGCCTGTTTGGAGCAGAAAATTGGTTGTCTTCAAGGGTAACAAAGTTTCACAATAATTCTATTGAGATTACATGAGAAATCTAAAAATTCCTCATCTCCCAAACGTATACGAAAACCACCTTAAAGAAATTATCAGAATCAACATGACTTATTATGTAAGAAATATGTATTGAAATTATTAGCAGACTTAAGATAGTTTAAACTACAGAGTATTTTTATAAAGACCACTTGCTTTTCATCACTATTCTCGCACTTTATTTTCTCTATCCAAGAATAAAGAGATATACATCTAAAAACTCTGTGAGGATTGATCACAATCTTCTTCAGTCATCTCAGAGACACAAACCAACTTTTCCTTTCCCCCATGCCAAATCAAAGAGGTACAAAACATTAGTTAGAAAAATTGGTGTAAAATAGTGGCTTTTACAGTAGTAAAACAGATTTTACTATTTTAAATAGCCCTCAGAACACTGCATATGTAGGATCTTTTAAAAATTATTTTGCTATATTAAAACTTACACTGAAACCACATTCCTGATGTGCTCCATCTGATAATTATACAATGCTAAAATTATACACTTGAAAAACTCATTATAAGATGACAGTAGTATGCTAATGTGCACTAAAAATTACAAGAAATTGTAACAATAATGTTCCTTCCCTCCATCCCCCACCAAAAAAAGAAAAAGGAGAAAAAAAAAAATCAGCATGCACTTTGGCATTAAGCATTTTTTTGATATTTGGCTTTTTTTCTTGTCAAGGAGTATCATTTAATAAAATAATACATTGTTGACTCACCACAGCATGTGCTATCTCTCATGTACAGGAAATAGTTCAAAGGCATCAACTTCATGCATGGATTGCCATTGCTGATATTTGAGTCTGGCCTGCTGTTGGTACAGGTTTCTAATACTAGCCCTAAGAACAAAAAAAAAGAGAAAGAAATATTTGGGATTTATTTTTCAAATCTGATAGAAAATTTCAGAAAACTAAAGTAATCCAGAATATCAGTATCTGCACACCATATGACAAAGACTTAAGATTTTCCTCTGATTATGCCATAGTGCATCCAGTTCTGGCAGTATCTGTACCACAGAAAATAACGCAGAACAAAATGCTGTTTAGATGGGGGAGATGAGTCACGGTTATTCCTCTACCACCAAAAAAATGGAAAAAAAAAAAAAAATCAAGGTCCTAGTTCTCAAGAGCACATATTCAAGTCTGTTCAAATTGCAACAGATAGTGATAAAAAAAGTCATAAAACTGTTCTAAAATAATTATTTTTGTGTCTATACTATCTTTCTCAGGTCAGATCTTCAAATTTTTCTTTGGAATAAGGAAGAGCAAAAACTTTACCTATAAGAAGTTGAGATAGGTACATCTGTCACTGGTACCTGGGAATGGAAATTAAATTTGACTTGTAGCATTATTAACAGCTTTAAAAACTGTGATATGGATACATACAGGCATAAGAAAAGGCCTGAGAGTTACTGCTATTTTTCAAACTAGCATCCTCTTAAACAACAAAACGTCACAAAAGAAGTTCTACTGCCAAAGTGCATGAGAGACAACCTCAAGAAATGTGGTAAAAAGCAAATGCTGTGGTATTAAGATAGTGAATAAGAGGTAGAACAATCAAACACACAGTGCTCTGGTGTCTCACCACTGAAGAAAATTGAGAGATTACTGTTAAGTGGAAGGTTTGGGCAACATTTTCTTTCCCCTGAACCACAACATGTTTTCAAACATCTCAGAAGAAAACTAAAACTTTGTACCAAGAATAGAAAATTAAAAATCCTCACGAGAAAATTGCTGCCTAACAAGAGAGGCCCCACTATACTTCACTGAACTGGGTTCAGTGAACTCAGGCTTCCTGAAAACCCATGTCAAATTGCAGTTCCTAATTTCCTGGGTTACTGACCTCTTAGTGTAGGATCCGGTGAAGTAGCTACTGACTTGACTGGAAGTCTGTTCTGAACCTCCAGCTTTTTTCATGACCTCACATCCCTTCTGTAGAGATGAAGCCAAGGAGAACACACCACCACCACCACTATTGAATTCATACACCAAATTCTTTAAAAGAAAATCTCACTTTATAGCAAACAAATAAGACTGGAAAGTACTGGGACCTGAATTTCCTGTTCTTCTCTTCTAACAAGAGACAGATTCTAAAGCTTGCTAACAAAGCTACAGCTATCAGGCTAAAACACAGTATAGCAACTCAAGGACAGCCATGTAACTTTTGCAAGTAGTGGACAGGGGAATGTGAAATTCTGTCCCATTCCCTGTACTGCTTTTTGTCTCTAATGTCATTATCACAAATAATAGGTAACATTGCCCTAATACCTGGTATTTCAGGTGTTAATTAAAATTGTATATTGTTTTCTGTTTTAGACCATCACTTTTAGACAGTTAATCGAGTATAACGGATTTTGTTTCTGTGAAAGGTTTTTTCTTTCTGCCTCTACAGATGGTGCTGCCAGAAGGGGAAAAAGAAAAAAAATCACAGCAAGTGCAGCATTTTTAAATTTTAACTGCTGCCCTTTCATGAGGGCTCATTTTTCTTGCAAGTAGCCTTTAAAACCATAAGTGTGCAAGAATCACAGATAAGGGTAGCAGACTATGAGCACTGAGAGCCAGGATATATCTATATTCAGTATTATTGTCCAATAATACAGGGTGAGACAGGGAAGTCTCCCTCCTTTACTCCTGATGACATAACAGAGCAGCAAATGTGGTAATACCGCAATCACCAGGCTTTTAGGACATCATTTCTCGTAGTGCTATTATAAGCTCAAAATGTAATCAGTGGAATGGGAGGGGCTATGGGCTATAGACACTTGACATAAAAACAAACAAACAAAAGCCACCTTACTTTAATTTGAAAATTTATCAGCAAGCTGTGAAAATTTATCAACAATATTTTCTGTAATTTGGAATTGTCTAATGAGCTAATTGTCTAATGAATGGGTAGTTTCTACTGAACAACAGTTTAAGAGGTTACCGATTTTAAAGCTGGAGACATTTCCCTAAATGCAGCTTTTCTGTTTTCCAAGTCTTAACAAAACTATAATGTCGTCTGCAATAGCAATGCTAAAATCATCCTCCTTTGGGCCTCCTTTAGCTCCTCCTTAAATTGGATGAGTTTTGCAATGGACTGCAAACAACAAGTGAACTTTATGACACTGTCCAATACCATAGCAGTGAAATTTTGATAGCTCTCTTTGCTTTCACAAGCCAGATCACAGCATTGTAACACTGCTTGATGGCATATTGATCCAGTACTGTTAAACCTCTAAAAAAGGGCTGCAAACATTCCAGCCACTGACTGGGCGATGGGGGAGTGGGGAGGAAACTCCAAACCTGCAAGAAAACACTCATCCCAAGGTCTGCTCATAAAAATGTGTATGTGCACTGAAGGAGCTTTTTAACAATGAGAAGGACATTTTCCAAGCAGACAGACAGGCAGCTGAAGGTAACTTATTTTTCGTGGTAAGTGATTTCTGTCCTTATCCTATTTAGGATAATCCTATAACTCTTCAACAAAACCATAATTACAACAGGACCCTGACATATTATGCATGTTCTGAAGCAGCAGAAGAGAGCAATGCACAAGAGTGCAGTTTACTGAGAGTCAGGGAAAAAGAATATTGTTTAATGGCTGAGGTCAAATCATTGTCATTCACATCTGCATCCCTGTAAGACAAAGTCATTAGCTGAACCAATTGAAAAGGTATTTCTATGGCACCTTTCTTAGCAGGAAGAGAGCACACAGCAGGAGGACCACAGAAAAAAATATTACTCCAGAGTACTCCTGACCAATGACTACCCAGCACTGTTTTGAAAGAGGGTTAAAATATGAGAGGTTTGGTGCACTCCACTTTTCCGAAGGCATGGGGACCAAAGACACGTTACATGTGAGCAAAGACAAACAGCCCTGTGCAGTACCTACACCATCCTGTTCTCTTTTTCTGTAGCTGAGCTTGCAGGACAAGCTCTGTGTCCTACAGCAAGCTGATTGCAGATTCCTCTGTCTCTAAAAAAGTCTCTGGCAAAACTCACAGTGAACACATCAGAGGAGGGGAAGGTTGCATCGAGGATATCATGAAGCTATGCAGCAAAAAGAGCCCATGTACACAAGCTTACAATCACCCTGTACACGACTGCTGTGAAACATGCCCATCATGGTTCACTGGAAACACCTCCAGCTTATTAAACAATGCTCTAACACTTAATTATCCAAGTCAAAATTTGTATTATTTTTAATAATGTCTCTCTGCTGTAAAAACAAAACAAAACAAAACAAAACAAACACAAAACCAACATTTCTTCCTGTAGAAGTAGCTTTGCTGTCAGAGGATTTCCCTGCAAAGCAACATTGATTTCACTGCAGTATCTACAGATGGTTAATTCTCTTTTGTAAAATAACTGGCTGGTAGCTTGCTGTAAACACTTCTCCTGAAAGCTCATGTTGGTTCTGTAAAACCCAATGGGCCAAGTTATTCACTTGCACCCAAGTAATGTGTAAGAGTGATGATTAAAGGCCACTTTCTTAAAAACAACCCCCACCCCCACATCCGACAAGATTTGTCTAACACTCACTTCTCCCCACACAGACTTTTTTTTTTCTTCTATTCATCCACTCTGCAAAAGGCCAAGACGTCTGCCCTCTGAATCTCCTAGTTGCTTATCCTCTCTTTATTTTCACACGTCCAAATTTTATACGGCTCTGTATGGACCACATAACCTACATAACGTACTCATTTCTACTCAATTGCAAGCCAAGACACCTCCTTCCCCCCAAAGCCCCCAAGCAGCATTAGAGGTGATGAGACTGAGTAAAACACTACTGTTTACATGAGCCAGCTGGTAAAGCGCTATCGCACTCCCATCCATGATGTACCCCCCTGCCCTGCTCCCACGACCGCCGGTCACCTACAGTGCCCAAACATTACAGATCATACACACCCGAACACAGGAAAATGATGCTTCTCTGGCCACAAAATGGACAGGTGCAGCATTCTTGCTTCAGTTAGCAATTTACTTCATTAACCTATGTCTCTCTCCCCCTCTCCCCTGTTTTGTTTTGGGTTTTGTTGTTTTTTGGTTTTGTTTTAAACAGCAATCAATATTCATCACCCCACCCTGAAAAAGCAATTAGTCAAAGAATATTAGCGTCAACACCTACCATTCCTTGCTTGCGAGCTATTCTCCTCCTCAGAAACCTCTTCCCCAAACTGCGACTTTAGGTGGTATTTTTAAATCACATTCCAAACAGTGCTGAGGAAAAACCGTGCTATTTATAATAATAGGAAAAAAATTCAATAAAATAATGATGATAATAAAATTAAATTAAAAAGAAAAAAAGAAAAAAAAAAAAGATGGGCAGCTGGTTCCAAGGTAAATCACTGTTTTCCTTTAAAGAACTGAATAAAAGCCTGGGGGACAGGGTAGAACAGAACAGAAAAAGGGGAGGCAAAATGTCTGATAATAATGAAATAAAAGGGGAAGGGGGGGAAGAGTGGCTTGCTGAATCACGCTCTTTCACTGCCTGGAAACCATTGTGCAGCGTGATGCTGGCTGTACCATTGTGGAACCTACCAGAGGAGACAGGCAGAGCTTGGGGAATGGGGCTGCTATGGCAACTGAAAGGAGCACACATGACGTCAAAGCACACAGAGGTCTCGCAGGGGGAGGGAGAGAAAAATCTAATCTGCAGCCACAGCTATGGTATCTCCTGGAGAATCAGGGAATAGAGCAGACTGCAAAGGGAAGCTGAATAACCTCCTGTAGCACTCACCAGCAGCAGCTCAGACATCTGCAGCATCAGGCAGCCAGGCAGCACAGAGAGAAGGTAGTAACAGCAGTGCAGATCTGCTCTTTTGTTTACATTAGCTGCTATACAAAAGCATAAATGCCCATCACCCTAAAAAAACCATCTAAATCCTTGAAATTCAATTAAGTTTCATGCTTGGAAGGGGGATAAAAAGATTAAAAAAAAAAAAAATCACAACACAACTCCTTCACAGCTATTGAACACAGCTATTGCTTGCATGAACAAGTAACACAACTCCTGGAGTACCCTAGGAGCCCAAAGACCTGCTAGAGATTTCCCCATTAACAATATGTTGTGCCCACTACTAGAATGTCCCAAATCTCATTTCTAAAAAGTCTCATTGCACAGAGGAACTATTGTATTTTGAGTTCATAGAATCAAGTAGAGTTGGTGATGACTTCTGATGTCCTCAAGTTGAAAAGTCAAGTAGATGACACTTCTTCTGCATATGTCTACAGGATGTAGTGACTCTTGCGACATGAAACAGCAAAGAAAGTGCACTCTACACTTCCATGAGACTAGACTTCCATGAGATTTAGGCTGGGACAAGATCTAGTCAGAAATATTATCACAGAATCATATGATGCTTTGCATTGGAAGGGTCCTCAAAGATAATCTAGTTCCAAACCCCCTGACCTGAGCAAGGACACCTTCTACTAGACTAAGTTGCTCAAAACCCCATTCAACCAGGCCTTGAACACTGCTACGGTTGGGGCAGCCACAGCTTCTCTGAACAATCCATGCCACTGCCTCACCACTCTCACAGTAAAGAAGTTCTTCCTAATATCCAAGCTAAACCTACTCCCTTTCAGTTTAAATCCATTCCCTCTAGTCCTGTCACTACCCGTTCTCGTAAGAAGTCTCTCTCCATCTTTTTTGTAGGCTCCCTTTAGGTCCTGGAAGGCTGCAATTAGGTCTCCCTAAAGCCTTCTCCAGGTTGAACAATCCCAATGCCTTTCCTTATATTATGGTGACATTCTATCTTGCTCAAATACCCATCTTTGAAAAGCAAAGCATTTCCTTCAGTACATCAATTTCATTGGTTAAAAAGAACACAAAGGAACTCACTGCAGCTTTTCTGCCAGTGGTATGAATATTCCATAGGTTTTACCACACCCAGAGCCAAACACAGTCCTGTATGACCTGGAACTCCTAACTACAGGCAAAGTGAAGTCACTGGCTGTGGCTGGGCCCTAAGCTATTGGTTGCCCCCGACTGTATTCTGTCTACGTATACCACTCTCCTTTCTCCATTAGCCTGTTTTGCCTGGGTGTTCTTATTTTTTTGAGGTGAAGGTTTTCATCTTGGTCTCTGTATCATTCCTGCATACATATATACATTCATGAAAGTCTGAACATGTTTATTTGCAGTGAGAAAAAAATTCTATAGTTACAACTCTCACGCACCGTTGTTTTTTTCTTTTTTTTTTTTTAATTTACTTAACAGCTCTATCACAAGCCAACAATCACCACAGGAAGTTCTCCCACACTGTGCACTATACTAAGGGAATACTGGATGATGCATAGCGAAGAAGCACGCATAGGTACATTATGTGCCCAGAGAGCACCCTCCTATTGTCACCAGTGTCCTGAGGAGGCACCAAGGGCAGCATGACACAATCTCCACCACGGTTTGCAAATTAGACACTACCTGCACATTAGACATAAGCAATAAGCCTGATAGTTTTAATGTGTCAAGTTATTGGCCTCAATAACCACAGCATATTTGACTTCAGATGGGTAAGCTTCAGAAATTTGCAATTTACTAAAAACTTTTTTTTGAGTGATGAAGAGGAAGCAATAAAGATGCTGCAAGATGTGTAGCAGAAACCACAACTGGTAGTAACTACAAGATATTGAAATTTTAAAAAAAAAATCATCACAACACTGACGAAACAAAAATTTAAACAGGCAGTTTCCACATCATCCTTAAAAACACAAAATCCCTCATTCCATTTTTGTCTCTATAATCATATTCTTTCTCACATACCATAGCACATCTACTGTCAGTGTCTGAGACATTACCATCCTGTTTGAACAAGTGACTACGTCTTCTTCCAACATAGAGGGGCTCTGAGCAAAGGAGCCTTATTTTACTCTGAGAAGGATTTCATCCCTTCCAGATCCTACAGAATACCACAAGAGAATACCCTGAAAAATTACTCCTTTTGTGATTACAATCTTTTTCAACAGGATTCTAGAAATACATTACTGTTAGGCAAAAGACCAGAATGAAATTACTTCTTTCAAGAAAGTCTACATATTATCCCTTTTTTTTTTTTAAAGGGGGGGATGGTGGAAGGGTGTTGGTTTATGGCAAACACCTATTAAAGGTTTTTGCTCATTTGGTGAAAGACTCCACCTACAGTAACCATAGACAAATGTATAAAAACCTATATATACATGAGTTGGTTACTCATTTGAAACAAAGGGAACTTTTTTTTCCTAAAAATAAGTTCATATGCATGTATTACCCAAAACGTTAAGGATACAGTAAAAAATAAGTTTTCTAGAAAAAACCCACACTATTGTGTGAGTCAGGAGAATGCCTTTGAAAATAGGTGGTGCAGAAAGCGCAAAGGTGGCTGCTTTTGACATAATTACAGGGCTGGCTTGGGGAAAGGGAGAAGAAACAAAAAGCCTAAGCTCCTGCAGAGGTGTCAGAGGCTTTGGAGTGTAATTAGGCTATTTGTCCTTGAAACGACATATCTAATGGAAAATAGCAGCTTTTCAAATGCTGCTTTTTCCAGTGATGCTGCTTCCTCGAGCTCAACAGCTAAACCAGCATTTCTCTCCACATTCATGAGTGATTACCATTTGCTCTTTACAGTGTCCTGCAGAGATGGTTCACTGGCTGGGCCACGATCCACCACCATGCCATGCCATAAAATGTATTCCACTCTGGAATCAAGCCTCAGCTAAACACTGGAATGGTCTGACAAAGTGCATAAAATTTGCATCAAATAATTTAAATCATTTTAGGTACCTGTTTCCCAGAATAGCTGCCCCAATCTTTACTGGTAGACATGCTCTCTTATTTCCCTGCTTTGGGCCTTTAAAGCACTCAGTGTTGGTCTTCTCTAGTACAAAACGTCTTGATTCACTTCAAATGTGAATTCCAAAATGAAGTTCATACAATTGGTAGCCCAGGAGATGAAAATTAGACTGTCACTGATTTTCATAAGAGATACTGAGAACATTGAGGTTTGGAGAACAGTTATGTCAGGAGTTGTTCACATTCAGTCCTGTATTTATACAAACAAAAAGATCACTCTTAAAAAAATAACTGCCATATGGAGATTCGGGTCCATCTGTGTTTCCAATTCCTTGTTTGCTGATGTTGTTTAGTTAAAAAAATAAAAATAGATGTAGGTAAATGAGGCACTCTTTAGAAGAATTAAGCACTGCTTTTAAAGAATAGAGGAAAACAGCTGTGACTCTGCGCTCACCATCAACAGTGTTTATAATAATCTTCTGAAATGGTCCTACCAGGACAGAAGTACTACAGAAGTACTAAATCTGCCTGCCATGAAAGCACTCTGTAATCCATGTGAGGTCTAGGACTAAACTGGAATTGCTCAAGCAGTTTATGCCATTTCTCCCAGAGTCTGCTGCATGGATGGCTGAATGTAGCAACTCCTGAATTGCCACAGTTTGCAATCCAGCATATAAAACAATCTGAAATTGGCAATGGCTTAATGCACTGAGTAGCAGACTGTGATGGTTTAAGAGCTGCTAGACACACAATTCAGCTCTGCCTGCCTTACAGAGATCATATTCTTCTCAATGGCCAAATGAACCACATCAAATTAAGGACACCAAAATAAAATCCTGGTGAGCAAGCATTTTCATTTTTTTAAGGCCTAAAGCAACAAATAACTTCTAAAACAAATTCGTCCACCCAATTCAGTGCTAAAGCTAGAACTAAGTGACTTCTCAGCATCACCTTCAGCCATGGTTTTCTGGGATTCCAGTCTGCTGTAAAGTTGTACTCTCAAGTGGAACAGTGAAGGTGTGCCACAGGCTGCCTATAGAACCAGACACAAAAAGTCACTGCTGCTCTCCTTGTGTATATGCCCACTGTACATCAAATCCAAGAGTCTCTTTGTTGCAAAGTTATTTTTCAAGTTTAAGGATGCAATAAAATATACCTTTTTTTTGCAGCTCTCTTTTGTCTGATATGTGACCCTCCATTGCACTAAACTCCTCTATTAGTTTCAAAAAAAAAAAAAAAAATTTGCAATGCCTTCCTTGCTTTTATTCTGTCTCAATTCTCAAGAAAAAATCACTGATGAAGGTCTACCTGGACTTCATTCCCAAAGAAATAATAATCTTGGATTTTGTGTTCATCTTCATCAAGAGGTCTTTAAAACTATTTCATTTTCCACTTGATTATTACATTAATGGTCAAGAGAGGCTTTTGAAAACTTTAAGGAAGCTACCACATACTCCTATAACCCCTTTCCTTCTACCACTTCTTCACTGTCATACCATGAAGAAGTGTACATTTAAATCTCAGGATTTCTTTAACTTCGCTATACAAATGGACAAACGTAACAGAACTAAACCGAGATGGAGAAATAACTATGACTGGCATCATGTCAGCTTTTTGGTTAACTCTGAGGTTGAAAAGCACAATCTAAATAAACAGAACTTTCGTATGGCCTGACCAATACGGAGTTGCTGCACTTATAAAGTGTAACTGGAGATAAAGTCTGGTCACTGAGAACAGGCAGGGAAATCACAGGGCAGGGCACAGCTGTTGGGCAAGTTCACT